CCCCCCCCGCTGCTGGATGATAACCAATAATTTGTATTCTACTTTTTCTCTGTATGTTCCTAATGACAGTTGTATGATTGGTTTATACAAACACATAATAAGGCATAGATAATTAATAGTTTCTATACTGTAATAAATGTTATGTCAATTAGCATTGCATTATTCATATATTTATTTATTTATTACCTGGAAATGACTTGAAATTACCTTTTTTTTTTTTTGCTACAACGATAGCGGGCTGCCTTTGTCCATATTGGGATTTCCTGCACGTCCTAAGTTATTATTACTTCTACAAGGCCGTCTGGACTCTGCACGAGAGCGCCCTTCGGCTTCAAGAATGAATGAAACATGCACTGCATGAGAGGGTTCAGCGCTCCATAATGTTCACATCGTCTCGTTTTGGATATGAATAAATCGTCTGGTCACTATCTTCTTTCTTCGCCCATGGGTACACACATCCAAAGTGCGGGCACAGAAAAGGTGAGTTTAGGTGCATCTTGACAGATAGATCACGGTTGATCTGTCAGTCAGATGCACGTAAAATGCATGCACTCTTATGTCAATGTTGTTGTTAATGTTTAGGTTATTTTAGCTTCGTTAAACTGCACTGTTAAAAAGAGGGCGATTTTTTTTACCATTCATCTGAACTGTGTGCATGCATTTTAGACACTTACAGTGATCTTCCTCCATCTGTGCAACTGCCTTCCTTCTATCAACCGAGTTTCAATTTACTTCAACTGCTATGTGCTCTGGTAATATCAATGGCATGACCCATTTCAGGAGCTGCTAAAATTATGATTTAAAATTTCACTAATATATTGAAACGCAGTGATGCAGACTCAAAAATCCAACACCGGTGATTGACAGTCAAAGCAAAGTGTGGTTTGAACGCCCCCATAATTTTTTTTTTTTTACCCGAGTCAGACCGGCCTGTTATTGGCTGAAGCGCAGGGCTCCACTCCAGCAGTTTGAAAAGTGCCCGTCAAACGCTGACTCGCTCTTTTTCTCCATCGGTACCTTTGTCATTTTTTTGTAAATTTTTTTTGTAGTACTTTGTACTTTTGGTCGAAAATAAATGTAGCGAAGTTGAATACTTTATTTTAATTCTACTCAAGTAAAAGTACCACAATTTAATTATACACAAGAAAGTAGAAAAACATGTACTCAAGTACTGTAACAAAAGTATTTGTAATTAGTTTCTTTCCACCTCTGCATATACCTTAATTCACCTTGTAAATATGAGTAGATTATTCTTTTTACTGTGTTAAGAGGGTCGGTGAATGTGGTCAGCACAAGAACTACAGTAGTTTAAGCCGCAGTCACTCTAGACATTGAGCATGTGAAG